GTTCAGGAGCATATCAAGTGTGTCCAGCAAGTATATTCCGTTCGCCTCATGGCCACTCCCAATCATCCTTTGAGACTGTAGGTCCTGAAAAACACAATGAGTGGGAAAGAAGGTTATGCTACAGTTCATGGATTTAGTCAGGCTACTAATAGATAAAAGACTTGTATTAAGTTTAGGGACATGAAGGACAAAGGATAAATAAAGGGTGTCGGAGGTTTTTATATCCCCTTTGCCAGAAATGGGAGCAAGGGACCCATCAGCAAGGGATGTTTTCTCTTTACCAGAGAGAAGGTGGTATGAACAGAAAAGGTTAGACAAGCTGGTCATATGGTCTGATGCACCAGAATCAATGATCCAAGGGATTCTATGATTATTTGAAACTGAAGCATGGTTTGCAGAAGCACGAATACCTGAGTGAGCAAATGCTGATGATGATGATGTGTTGCCTGAAGAGTGAGATGTAGAAACAGTAGCCTCTAAGTGACTTAACAGCCTACCATACTTTTCAAAGTTCTCCTTCATTGCTGCCAACTATTCAATGGTGGACTTCTCTTCACTCTCCTTACTTCCTCCTTCCGGTACTGTGGCAACATTAGCTGTCTTTGGCTTTCCTGTCTGACTGCCTTTCTTAAAATTGTTGTTATTCTTAAACCGGTTAAGAAGAAGATCAGGATGAAGCTTCCAACAAGTGTTCTTCATATGCCTCGGTTTCTTGCAATATTCACATACCTGCTCCTTCTCAGTTGGACCCTTTGGCTTTATTCCCGCATGTGCAAAGTGTTCTATAGGTGGACTCTATAATTGAACTTGCCGCCTACTCTCCTCACTGCTCACCATAGCATATGCCTGGGCAAGAGTAACATCATCTTTGGCCAGAATATTTTGCCTAATGATGTCAAACTTAGGGTTGAGTCCAGTAAGAAATTCAAACACCCTGTTTCTTTCCACCAACTTCCTAAACATTTCTGAATCATTCTTAGTCTCCCATGCAACTGTCTCCATAACATCAATTTCCTGCCATAAGGATTTTAGTATAGAATAGTAGATTGCCACACTCTTCTCCCCTTGTCTTAGATTCTTCACATCACTTTTCAGCTTGTAAACTCTAGCCACATTCAACTTCTGTGAATAAGTTTCAGTAACACTGTCCCAGATCTCCTTGGCAGAGGACATTCAGAGATAATGCTGACTTATATGAGGCTGCATAGAGTTGACTAACCATCCTATGACAATATAGTTCTCCTGCATCCATTTCTCATATTCAGGGTCTGTCTCTTCGGGTTTCACTTTACTGCTTGTGAGGTACCCTAATTTTCCTCTACCACAGGCATAAATCCTTATAGACTGTGCCCAAGCAAGATAATTTGTCCCATCTAGCTTGATTGTGGTCACACCAGTCAAAACGGAATCTACCGAGCCAAGCCTAGAAACCGACACCTGCTTGAACTCACTTCCGTATTGCTCCATTAATCAAACGAAAATAAAAAAACCAGAAATTTGGTCCTTATAAACTTACTTGAAGTTAAACCAATACCCAGATGCTTGAAAACTAGGGTTTCACTGCGTCCGGCTGTTGGGGAGAAAGAGAGAAGATGCAGCCGCTCCTACCAGAGCTTCCCAATCTCTTCCAAACCTGAACCACCCTCTTTTAGAAGTCAAAAGACACTTCCCAAGCATAGAGCGCCACACCCAAAGCTTCACTTTTACTTGTAACTTCGAAAATCTCTAATCGGCTAGGGTTTTGGGCAGAAACAGTACAACACCACTTCTTGGCAATATCCGACCAGATTTACACTCTCCAAACCCTCTACCAACTAGGCCAAAGATCCTCTAGACTACAGAGAACCAATCTCTCCATACACTCTTAATTGAAGGGTGTATGGGAAAAGAGAAAGAAGAAAAGAAGGAAGAAAGAAAGTTGCTCTGATACCAAGTTGTAAATCAGTCCTCTAAATCTGATGTAAACTTGGGAAAAATTAGAGAAAAAAGAGGAAGAAAAGAAGAGAACAGCAGTACAACAGAAGGAAGATGGAGAAAAGAGGAGGAAGAAGAAGAAGAGTTCGAATGTCTCTTCCCTCCCTTCTCTAATCCTTTTACTAAACTTCAATCTTAAC